TGCTCGTCTGCCGCTACTTTTAGCCGCGGGGCCAGTTACCCCAGTAGTCCGGAGCGTTGTTCCGGTAGCCACTGAGCCAGCAGCTCGTCTGTGTGTCTGCAGCGTCAGCAGTCGCCTCCCATCTTCTCTCCCCCACAGTCTCTCCTCCTCCTCACTTGCCCTCTGCGAAAGCCTCTAGCTTTGCTCATAATTGTGAACTTTAAACTATTGCTTCTTGAACTTGTGCTCAGAATGTGTGGTGACATTGTGATCCACCCTGAGCTTGTACTGCTGTGCTTGCTCTGCTGATTACACCCCACTTTGGCTATGGGGGTGTGTCAGAATATTATGCTCTAGCCTGTAGTGGGGTGCTCTATAGCGAGTACAACCCTTCTAGGGTTTGCTATTTGTATCCTCATTCTTGCTAGTGCAACCCTCCTTCTTCTTCTTAAACTTTCACAGTTTGTCCCGAAAAAACTCGCACTTAGAGCCCTTGGTGAGTAACCGATGTTCCTCTAAAACTTTAAATACTGCTTCGAGATCCGCTAAATGCTGCTGCTTGTCGCGACTGTAGACGAGGATGTCGTCGAGGTAAACTATCACGAATTTATCTAAGAGTGGCCTAAACGCCTCGTTCATGGTCATCTGAAATGTTGCGGGCGCGTTGGTCAGCCCGAAAGGCATCACCGTGTACTCAAACGACCCGTACCTAGTCCTAAATGCTGTCTTGGCGCAGTCCGATGGTTCGACCCGAATCTGATGGTAACCCCCCCGTAAGTCTATTTTCGAAAACACCCGTGCTGTTCGCAGTTGGTCGATCAGTTCGTCGGCGCGGGGAATGGGGTACCGCGACTTGACTGTTACCCTGTTGAGCGCTCGGTAATCGATGCACATGCGAAACCTGTGAAAGTTTAAAAGGAAGAAGAGGGTTGCACTAGCAAGAATGAGGATACAAATAGCAAACCCTAGAAGGGTTGTACTCGCTATAGAGCACCCCACTACAGGCTAGAGCATAATATTCTGACACACCCCCATAGCCAAAGTGGGGTGTAATCAGCAGAGCAAGTAAAGCAGTACAAGCTCAGGGTGGATCACAATGTCACCACACATTCTGAGCACAAGTTCAAGAAGCAATAGTTTAAAGTTCACAATTATGAGCAAAGCTAGTGGTAGTCACAGAGGGCAAGTGAGGAGGAGGAGAGACTGTGGGGGAGAGAAGATGGGAGGCGACTGCTGACGCTGCAGACACACAGACGAGCTGCTGGCTCAGTGGCTACCGAAGCAAAGGCCCGGACTACAGGAGTAACTGGCTCCGCGGCTAAAAGTAGCGGCAGACGAGCAACTGACCCACAGGCGACTGGCGACTACCGGAGATTGTAGCCTCCGGACTGCTGGTGCTGCTGACGACAAGACTGCTGCCTCCACTTAACCTCCCCCAGCTGCCCAACACCCCTCTCACACACCCGCTGCTACACCGCTAGCTCCACTCCCCCTTCACCCCCCCTTAGTACCACTCCAACGAATCCAACAAGTCCACCCCCCCTCAGCGGCAGCTGCAGCACAGGGAGACGGAGGAGGAGGAGGAGCAGGGAATGGCACACAGTGGCTTCACCCCCATACCCCTCACCCCCAAACCCTAATTCAGGAGAACGGGCTGTAGGAGGGGTGGGGCGCCAGTAGAAGCACGGGGGACAGCGGGGAGGGCAGGGGCAGCGAGGAAAGGGCCGCCCACGGGCCTGGCACAGCCGCCCGAACCGCGCGCAGGCGGCCCGAGCCGCGCGCGGGCCTGGCGCAGCCCGTACGGGCCGCGCGCGGGCCTGGCGCAGCCCGTACGGGCCGCGCGCTGGCCTGTACGGGCCGCGCGCAGGCCACAACGGGCGACGGGGGGCGACGCGCGGGTCCCCGTCGCCCGTCGCAGCGCCTCCCGAGGGCGACGCGCCGAGTGACGGGGCAGAAGCCCGCCGCGCGCCTCGGGGCGCACAGCGGGCAGAGAACCGCCGCGCGCCACGGGGCGCACGGCGGGCAGAAAACCGCCGCGCGCCTCGGGGCGCACGGCGGGAAGAAAAACTGCCGCACGCCACGGGGCGTGCGGCACAGAGGGTAGCAGTGGAAGTTGCAGCGGAAGCAACGAGGTGGTAAGACCACCCACAGGATCGATCCAAGGGGATCGACCTGCTCTGATAGCATGTGAAAGTTTAAAAGGAAGAAGAGGGTTGCACTAGCAAGAATGAGGATACAAATAGCAAACCCTAGAAGGGTTGTACTCGCTATAGAGCACCCCACTACAGGCTAGAGCATAATATTCTGACAAAACCCTCCGTCTTTTTTCGGTGTGAACAGTATCGGTGCGGCGAACGGTGACGAACTTGGTCGAATAAACTGCTTCTCTAACAAATAATCTAACTGCTTCCTCAGTTCGTCGAGCTCGGGCTGTGTCAGTCTGAACTGGCGCTGTACAGTTGGCTGTGCCCCCGGTTCTAACTCGATCCTATGATCATGCGCCCGCTGAGGTGGCAGCCCTTCCGGTAAGTCGTCTGGAAAAATCCCCGGGTACCGTTTCAACAGTTCCTGTAGTTCGGGCGGTACTGCTGCCAACAGTTTCTGAAAATCGCTCGGCTGCTCCGCTTCTCCTACTAATGCTATATCTACTGCGTACTCGTCAGCTCCAGCGGCGACAACCCGTTTCATCGTAATGGCGTTGACGTGGACCGTTGAAGACTCGGGCGACTGCCAGCGAGGTAGCATGACCCAGTTACCGCTACTTCGCACAGTGCAGCTACCCGTCGTCCAGTCGATTCGTGGGTTGTACCGTCGTAGCCAATCACGTCCCAGTAAAACATCATGCCCATCCAGTGTCGTCGCGAGCATTTCCTGTGTAAACCCGAAGTTTCCTCCGCAGCGAACTTTTACTCTCTCCACCTTCTCCCGTATGGCCAGCGGCGTGCCGTCGACTAAGCGTGCGTCGATCTCAGGTAAGCAGCGACTAAGTGTCAGTTGTAATTTTCGCGCAGTTGCGGTATTAACTAAACTGTGGCTTGCTCCTCCGTCAATAAAAATCTTCACTGCTGCTCCCTGTATTTTCCCGTGGATCAGTACTGGGCAATCCGTCGTTGTACCCTCCTTATTCATCCGAGCCCGATCGATGGCGTGAATCGGTACTGTGACTCGGTGAGGGTCGGTGCGGTTGGGCGAGCAGGCAGTCTCGTCAGTAGTTGGCCCAACTTCTACTGACTGTTGGCGTTTCCCTGCCTCTGAGACTCCCTCCCCTGCTCTGCTCCACGGCGCCTTAGCTCCTCTGGGCATTCACTCTTGCGATGGCCCGGCCTGTTGCAAGCAAAGCAGCACCCCTTAAACGGTGCGGCAGCTGCATTCGTTGCAACAGCGTTTACAGTGGCGTGCTCGATCGGTCCCCGAGGACGATGTCCGTAGTAGGACCCCGGTCTCGGTCGGCGTAGAATGTCGATTTTCTCGGCGAGCGCGAGAATCTCGTTGAAGTTTGAGAGTCCGCGCAGCATGATTTCGTGCGAGATATCCGGCTTCAGCCCTCCGACGTAACGGTCCACCCGCTCCGCTTCGTGCATGTAGCCGACCTGCTCGCAAAGTGCGAGAAAACCGCTCGTGTAATCTTGAACCGACCCGAGCTGCCGCCAAGTGCGCAATCTCTGACGCGCCGAAATAGAAGCCGCGATCGGCTCGAAGCGCGCCCGAAGCCCTGCGCACCACGCATCCCACGTGCTGTATTGGGCGGTCTCGCAGAATGAACTCCAGGTGACAGCTGGACCCGTGGGCCCTTCCTCTTGCGACGGTGGCTCGTAGGCGCGTGGCGACGTCACGATGACTCGCCACCAGTCCATGGCGGGGCCCTTTAACAGCGAAACGGCATACCGAATCTTCGCTGCGTCCGACTCGACGTAATTCGCGTCGAAGAAGACGTTCATCGTGAAAACCCACGATTGAACCGTCGGACCTCCACGCTGGCTCGGGTCGAAACAGGGCGGGCGTTGCGGCTTGAGTGGCATTGGTGCCATGATGGCCTGTTCGCCACTTGTCGCCGCGAACTCCACGTGCCGACGGGCTTCGCGAGGCTCCCGCGGGCTTGGCGCGCCCCTGTTTCCTCCCATGCCAGGCATTGGTTGGGCGGCGCTATCACTGGCTGCGCCCGAGCGCTGTCCCACGCTGTCGTGTTGTGTTGGTGTCCCGGACGAGATGACGATTGGCTCGTCCATTTGTGCAGGTGCATTTGTTGGTGCTGCTGGAGTGTTCACCGTTGATTGCTGACGCGCGGAGTCACGTTCCGCTGTGAGCATCGCAATTTCGAGCGCCGAATCTTCGAGTTGGCGCATCAGACGGTCGAGCTGCTCCTGCGTCAATGTGGCGAGCGTGAATTCAGCCATGGCGGGGGTGTCGGGCGAGCTCAGCGAGAGCCTCAGTCGTGGCCGTGCGTGCTTACGAGAGAGCACTACGAGCGGCGGTGCTGTGTCGCTGAGGGACGTCTACCCCCCCCAAAAATTGAGATAGTGGGGAAGCGAAGGTGTGGGTGCGGTCCGAGAAGAGGTCGTAGGCTCTGAATACCAAGTGTTACGAGTGCAATTGAGTGAACGAACGAGAATTGCACTATCGAAGCAAGAGTACAATGAGCGAAGGCATGGGCGAAGAATATATAGCGAAACTACAGTGGTAACGGTAATGGACTGTGGTTGTCGCGCGACGGGCCTGGGACTGAGGTTGGGAAAAGTGTCGAGGCGGAGGCCCGGAGCGCGGGTTACCCGCCGAGCCGTGAGGTCGGGGTGCGACGTGCGAAGATGGCGGGCGGATTGTCGATGCGAGGATTGCGAGTGGTAACGGTGCTGACTGTGGTGCTACAGTGATGTACGCGTTGAGCACGGACGCGAAGTAAGGAAAAAGGGATTTTCCTTATAGTTCGCTTGACATCACGGTGCCTTCACAATTTAGCAACAAAATTCATTCTTGAATTCCGACAGGATAGAAATATTTTTTTGAGGCCGCGGAACCAGGCAGCCATGGCTTCCGTTCCGCACTCGCTTCTCCATTCCTCCTTCACCACCCGCGACTATCACTCACCTCGCCTACTTCTCACGTACTCGAAGTCCGCGTTTTCCGGGGAATCAATAGATACTTTTCGCCAGCAACGGGGGGTTCATCTGATCCCAGCCGTAGGATCGAATTTTCATCAGCAGATCGAACGGCGAGCCGGGATCCGCGCGATCGGAGGGCCGCCAGGCATGGGCGCATTCCCGCGCCCGCAGCAAGGCGGAAACGTTCTCAAGGTGCCCTTAAACGGAATATTCCTCGCGAAATCTCCTTAGCCTTCGCGGTGACCAACGGTAACGTGCTGCCACGTGCCCTCCGCCGGCAATGCGGCAGTAAAGTGATGACACGTGCCCTCCTGTGGCCTCACAGGTGAGGCGCTGAGCAAATCAACCCGCCGCATTGCCGCGCGCGCAGCAACGCGGTAACGTGGTCAGTCTGCCCAATTCATATTGCCTTAACTCATGAACAATCCGGTCCTGGCAACGGTGAATCTGCGCCCGTCCCGTCCCGTCCCGTCCCGTCCCGTCCCGTCCCGTCCCGTCCCGTCCCGTCCCGTCCCTTCCCTTCCCCCATTCAGCTGGTGCTGGCGACCCTGTGGCCTCGCCTCTCGGTGCCACCATCCTCTCGACCCTCTCCTCTGCCCGCGGGCTGCAACTGGCTGCTCCATGAATAAGCACTTTTCTTCCCTCCTCCCCTTATCTGTCCCTTATCTCCCCCCCCCAGCTGGTGGTGAGCGGTCCTGTGGCGTCCCCTCTCGGCGCCACCATCCTCTCGACCCTCTCCTCTGCCCGCGAGCTGCAACTGGCAGCTGCAAACTCATATAAGACAAGTGTGCCCCCTTATTCCTTCCCTCCCCACAGCTGGTGGTGAGCGGTCCTGTAGCCTCGCCTCTCGGCGCCACCATTCTCTCTACGCTCTCCTCTGCTCGCGGGCTGCAACTAGCTGCTGTGGTGGACGGCAATCCCGAGGCCAACGGGCGGGACGCAGGGGAGGTGAGACGGGAGAGGGGAGAGGAGTGAGGGGAGAGGGTGGGTGGGGGAAGGATTGAGAGGATGTAGAGATGAGGGGGAGACAGACAGGGCCTGTGCTAGTCCCTCGCGGAATGCAACTAGCTGCTGTGGTGGACGGCAATCCCGAGGCCAACGGGCGAGACGCGGGGGAGGTCAGAAGGGTTTGGGTAGAGGGTAGTGGGGAGAGGGGAGAGGGGAGGGATAGGGTAGGGTTGAGAGAGGATTGAGGGATGAGGGGGAGACAGAGGCCTTTGGTTGTCCCTCGCAGGTTGCAACTAGCTGCTGTGGTGCACGGCAATCCCGAGGCCAACGGGCGAGACGCGGGGGAGGTGAGAGAAGCAGGGATGGGAGGAGGGAGAGGAATTGAGGATAAGAGGGAGAGCAAGCTGCGTGCTCTCGTTCTCCCTCCGCCTGCACAGCATTAAAAAATGAGAGAACGAGACAGGCGTGCATGGGCGCCTGCACAGCATTAAAAAGACAGGCGTGCATGGGCGCCTGCACAGCATTAAAAAGACAGGCGTGCATGGGCGCCTGCACAGCATTAAAAAGACAGGCGTGCATGGGCGCCTCCTTCTCACCATCGTTCTCTCCATCCGTCCCCCTTGCCTCTGTTGCCTCACTCCCCACTGCAAGTCCACCCCTCTGCTCTCCCCCACTCCCTCTCCCCATTTTTCCTCCTTGTCCCCCATCTCGCACTACTCCTGTCTCTGTTGTCGCAGGTGGCGGGTCTACCTGAGCCTCTCGAGCTGCCAGTGGTGGCTGACGTCATCATGGTCCTGGCCTCCGTTGCTCAGGTGCTCTTTGTGCTGCTCAGGTGCTTTTTGTGTTGCTCAGGTGCTCTTTGTGTTGCTCAGGTGCTCTTTGTGTTGCTCAGGTGCTCTTTGTGTTGCTCAGGTGCGCTCTCTGTTGCTCACTCTTCCTCTACTCACTCTCTCCCCACTCCTTCCCTCTCGTCTCCCCCAGTCGCGGTCTACAGGCGTATACGTGGATTTCTCTGGGGATGCGTCTGCTGCATGCGAGAACGTGCGACAGGTGAGGGTGAGATGGAGAGAGGTGGTGGGAGTATGTGAGTGCGTTGACGTGTGCGTGTGTGCAAATGCACGCGCGTTTGCATAGTCTTGTGCATGTGTGTGTTTGTGTAGGTGGGTGGTTTGGCGTCTATGTGGATATCACTGGGGGTGTGAGAACGTGGGAAAGGTGAGGTGAGATGGAGAGAGGAAGTGTGAGTCCGTGAATGCTTTGACGGGATTTTGTGCATGCTTGCATGCACGTGTGTGTGTGTGTAAGTGGGATGTTGTGTATGTGGATTTCCCTGTTAAAGCCTTTGCTATGTGGATTCCCCCTTGCAAAAGAAAGGTCTCAGTAGTGTGGTGGTGGGAGCGAAGCGAGCATAACAGCGAATGACGTCATGCATGCAGCCACCCTTTTCTCCCCTCCCCCTCCCCTCCCCTCCCTCCTATCCCTCCCCCTCTCCTCTTTCCCACCACTACCAAATGGCCACAGGCAACAGCATTCGGTCTCAGCAGTGTGGTGGTGGGGGCGCACATACCAGAGGATGAGCTCTAATACCCACTGTTCTTCTGCCCTCTTCCCTTCCTGCCTTCCTCCGCCTCTCTCCCCGCTACCCCATGTCCCCAGGCAACAGCATTCGGTCTCAGCAGTGTGGTGGTGGGGGCGCACATACCAGAGGATGAGCTCAGTGGTCTCTATGAGTTTTGCGACAAGGCATCCATGGTAGGGCATGCATGCAATTAACTCCAGTCAATGCAGTCAGTGCAGCCAATTTGTAGGGAAATCAGGCAACAGCATTGAGGCGAGTGCTGTGGTGGTGGGTGGGGGCATCCCCACACACCCACGCCATCAGAGGATGCCCCCACCCACCTGTAATGAGTCGAGTTTTGAGTCGACTCAACACTCGACTTATTACACGTTGAAGGGAAATGGAAATCAGGCTACAGCATTGAGGCGAGTCTGTGGTGGTGGGTGGGGACATCCACGCTATCAGAGGATGCCCCCACCCACCCACCAGAGAATCCCTATTCACGATTCAACCACACTGTTTTCTCCTTTATTCCTTGTGCGGCAACGCTCTGAGAATGCGTCTAAAGAATGTAAGAAATCCCAGGCACGAACAGGAGCTCTAGCATAGACCACAGCTTTCCACACGCACAATGTTCACTTCACATTCTGTATTCTATCCCCTTTTCCCTCTTGACTTTCCCCACGGCTGCATCATCGCCCCCACGCTCAGCAACCTCTCCATCCTCTTGGAGCGAGCCTGTGCTTCTTGTATTGACCTTCACACAGCTTCCCTCCCTGCATGTGCCCCCTTTTTCCCCCCCGGGGCTGCATCATCGCCCCCACACTCAGCATCCTCTCCAATCTCCCACCCTGGCTGCACCTTTTGGAACGAGCTTCGTGGCCTCAGTGTTGGCGTGCACAGCCCACCTCCCCCCTGCCTGTGCCTTCTCCTCCTTTCCCTTCCACCCCCAGGGATGCATCATCGCCCCCACCCTCAGCATCCTCTCCATCCTCTTGGAACGAGCTGCCACGCAGTTCGCCTTCCATTGCTCGCATGCACACATCATTGAGTCGCGAGCAGAGCTGACGCAGGTGAGGGTGCTGATGCAGGTGAGGGTGCTGATGCAGGTGAGGGTGCTGATGCAGGTGAGGGTGCTGACGCAGGTGAGGGAGCTGACGCAGGTGAGGGTGCTGACGCAGGTGAGGGTGCTGGGCACGAGGGTGGTGGCTGTGAGTGAGGTACACATAACATAACCACGTGCTCGGCTGCCACTCAGTTCGCCTTCCATTGGTCCCATGCCCAAATCATCGAGTTACGCGCCGACTTGGCCCAGGTGATGGGCATGACGTAATCATTTGCTCAGGTGCCACGTGATTTGCATCACCCTCATCCCTCAAGTCACACGTGAAGCACGCGCCGGTATGCATGACATGCTCATGACATGGCATGGCATACTCATCACATGGCATGCATACTCATGACATAGCATGTCATACTCATGACATAGCATGGCATACTCATAACATGGCATGGCATACTCATAACATGGCATGGCATACTCATGACATGGCATGGCATACTCATGACATGGCATGGCATACTCATAACATGGCATGGCATACTCATAACATGGCATGGCATACTCATGACATGGCTTCTCATGCACGCTCACTCACCTGCCCGCACACAGGCACCATCAGAGGACGCTGTTCGCCTGGCCCAGCAGCTGGCTCAAGTGGGTCGCACCTTCAATGGCAATGACTCATCCGAGGACCCGGTGAGTTTGTCATGCCACATGCTGTACCCCACATGCCATACCCCACATGCCATACCCCACATGCATACCCCACATGCCATACCCCACATTCATACCCCACATGCCATACCCCACATGCCATGCCCCACATGCCATGCCCCACATGCCATACCCCACATGCCATACCCCACATACCATACCCCACATGCCATACCCCACATGCCATACCCCACATGCCATACCCCACATGCCATACCCCACATGCCATACCCCACATGCCATACCCCACATGCCATACCACACATGCCATACCCCACATGCCATACCCCACATGCCATACCCCACATGCCGTACCCCACATGCCGTACCCCACATGCCGTACCCCACATGCCATACCCCACATGCCGTACCCCACATGCCATACCCCACATGCCATACATACCCCACATGCCATACCCCATATGCCATACCCCACATGCCATACCCCACATTCCATACCCCACATGCCATACCCCACATGCCATACCCCACATGCCATACCCCACATGCCATACCCCACATGCCATACCCCACATGCCATACCCCACATGCCATACCCCACATGCCATACCCCACATGCCATACCCCACATGCCGTACCCCACATGCCGTACCCCACATGCCGTACCCCACATGCCATACCCCACATGCCGTACCCCACATGCCATACCCCACATGGCATACATACCCCACATGCCATACCCCACATGCCATACCCCACATGCCATACCCCACATTCCATACCCCACATGCCATACCCCACATGCCATACCCCACATGCCATACCCCACATGCCATACCCCACATGCCATACCCCACATGCCATACCCCACATGCCATACCCCACATGCCATACCCCACATGCCATACCCCACATGCCATACCCCACATGCCGTACCCCACATGCCGTACCCCACATTCATACCCCACATGCCATGCCATGCGTTGGCTTCATGCATGCTGACTCACTATGCCATTCTCCTGTGCATGTCTTGTTTTGTCTTGTTTGAGCAGGCTAGGGGCTCGCTTATGGAGGAGGGGGTGAGGGTGCACAGCATGCAGCAGCCCATCCTTTCTCACACTCACACTCCCATCATGCTTCTCCTCTCGATCTGATGCCACTCCCTGCGCTGCAGGCTCGGGGCTTGCTTATGGAGGAGGGTGCGAGGGTGCACCGCCTCTCTTCTCACGCTCGTACTCTCATCGCCATGCGTCCCCTTCTGATGCATCTGATGCCACTTCCCTGCGCTGCAGGCTCGGGGCTTGCTTATGGAGGAGGGGGTGAGGGTGCACAGCATGCAGCAGCCAGGGCTGCTGCAGAGCACAGACGTGCGGTTTGGGAGCAACGGGCAGGTGAGTTATATGCTGCTGTGTGTTATACATGCTACACATGGTGCCCATGACAGACATGCCACTCATGACCACTCATGACCACTCATGACCACTCTTGCACACATGCCACACTCTTTATCTCATGCTCATTCTGTGATGCTGCGTGTGGAATGGCATGGCATGTGGCATGGCATGTGGCATGGCATGTGGAATGGCATGTGGCATGGCATGGCATGTGGCATGGCATGGCATGTGGCATGGCATGTGGCATGGCATGTGACATGGCATGGCATGTGGCATGGCATGGAATGTGGCATGGCATGTGGCATGGCATGGCATGTGGCATGGCATGTGGCATGGCATGGCATGTGGCATGGCATGTGGCATGGCATGTGGCATGGCATGGAATGTGGCATGGCATGTGGCATGGCATGGCATGTGGCATGGCATGTGGCATGGCATGGCATGTGGCATGGCATGTGGCATGGCATGTGACATGGCATGGCATGTGGCATGGCATGGAATGTGGCATGGCATGTGGCATGGCATGGCATGTGGCATGGCATGTGGCATGGCATGGCATGTGGCATGGCATGTGGCATGGCGAACACAGACAGCATCTCTCCGGTTGGACATCACATCACATGCAGCATACATGCCGGGTCTACTGCTCGCCATCAGACGAGCTCCCAGGTTGAAGGTCAGAACCTGCCTCTTATCCCGCCTCTTCTGCACTGCTGCTGCTTTCCCGCATCCACCTCGTTTACCTTGTACCTCGTTTACCTTGTACCTCGTTTACCTTGTATCTCGTTTACCTTGTACCTCGTTTACCGTGTACCTCGTTTACCTTGTACCTCGTTTACCTTGTACCTCGTTTACCTTGTACCTCGTTTACCTTGTACCTCGTTTACCTTGTACCTCGTTTACCTTGTACCTCGTTTACCTTGTACCTCGTTTACCTTGTACCTCGTTTTGAGGCGCCCCAAAAATGTGTACCTCGCACCTCTCTTCCATGAAGTTGGTGCTTTCTTTTCTCAACGTGCATCCGCACCCCACCCCACCCCACTTCACCCCAACCCCCGCCCCCAACCTTACCTCTCAACATGCCAACCATTCTGTCTCACAATTCCCTTTACTCTGGTTCTAGGAGCTCGCTCATGTATTCTTAAATTCTTAAATCGTTTCTCTTTCTCTCCACCCCTGTCGCTCTTTCTCTCCACCCCTGTCCCTTTTTCTCTCATTGACGCATTCCTCAATGCATGACAATGCCCTTTCCCCACCTCTCACTTCCTCCCTCCCACCTCAACCCTCTTGGCCTCTTTCTTCTCTGCAAAACTGCAGGGTCTTGTGTTTGGTCTGGAAAAGCTCTTGTGATGGGCATGGCATGTCACGTGCCTTCTTACCGGGGGGCCTGTTATAAGGAACTCCCATCCGCTGTGCCTTCTCGTCCGTATTCGTTATATTAACATCACAACTAGCGTACAGCAAGGTTTTTATTCATAAAATCAGCACCAAACGTCCAATCAAGCACCAAGCATCTGGAGTTGCAATGCAACAGGTCAAACTACCTCTCGACAACAGAGTCATCAGAGGCACGCCACGCCCCGTCCCTCTGACTGCGGCTAGTAGATCAATGATAGCAGCAACAATCTCATCAGTCTGCGGCACATTATTGCACAACACGAGAGGAATCACCCTACAACAGCTGGAGCAGCAGCAGCAGCAGCAGTGTTGTATGCAGCAGCTGGTGTTGAAGGTGGAGGAGGGCGTACAGCCTCATGTTGTATGCTAGAACCAGCAGCACAGAAACAGCAGTGCGACATGCACCGGCAGCGGCACAGACAGCAGCACTCTCACTCGCCTCCCCAGCATTCACAAAGCATCATGCAACTGCGTGCAGAGAACTCTCATGCTGCCGCAGAGCGTGTTTATCCCCCCCCACACGAGTGCCTGTTTGCTTCCAACACCACCAGCAGCCCTGCACTCCCTGATGGCACACCCTGCAGCCGCAGCACAGGAGGAATCACCCTGCAGCCGCAGCTGCAATTGGAGTTGGGGCTACAGCTTTCTGTCCTTTGTTGATTACCGTAATATTTTGCCAACATGCAAGTGATATCCTCCTGACACAAAGGCAGTTTCTAGTAGTTTTCACTCTGCCCTGCTCTGGAAGACCAACATGTTGCAACAAAATGCCCCAATGGATTTTCCAACATATTCAATATACAGTACAATACCTGTCATTCGCAGATCTGAAAAGAAACTGAAAACGTTATTTAGTACATATTCCAAATTCACTGCGAGTCCATGACCTACACAAAGGACACTTATGCACAACTGCTGCATGGCCTACGCTTATGCCTAAATATAACAGCTATCTACAAAGCTGCACCCTCAAACAACCTGATGGAGCCTACCACCATGTATCAGGATGGTAGTCCTGGTGCGACATGAGGCCATGCCTCACGTCAAGATCGCCCGGAACTGGTTCTGGCCCAAGCGTCGTGCAGCCGTGGACATTCAGCTCTCGCAGCAGCGTCATGTACCGCAGCTCTTGTGATGGCAGGGACTGAAGCTGCTCACAGCCACTCAGATCCAGTTCCCTAAGCCTCGTCAAATGGTGGAGGCTGGGAGGGAGGAAGTGAAGCGATGTATTGCTAACATCCAATCTGTGCAAGTAAGCGAGGTCGGTGATAGAAGAAGGCAGACTTGTCAGGGAGGAGCAATTGTGAAGGCTGAGATCACCCAGTCGTGATAAGAGAGAAAGGTTTTCCGGAAGATGGGTCAGACTAGGAGCTTCAAGATGAAGAGATCTGAATTGCGCAAGGCATGATACACTCTCTGGAATCTCCAGCAGCGATTCCGCCCCTTCCACATGCAGCTGCCGCAGCTGAGGCAGAGAAAAGCCGATATCATGAGGCAGGTGCTGCAAGGACTTGGCACGTGAGATGTGAAAAACGCGGAGGGATGAAAGGAACCGGAGAAGGAGTGGAAACTCGGTTTGTTCAGAGCTGAGGCGCATCTCCAGGTGCTCAATCCGAGAGAGGCAACGGCTGCTGGCTGGTGCGTCCATGACAGTAACCTGAGTTAACCTCAAAATCCTCAGATTTGGGGTCGTTGACATGTCAGGCAGAATGACGCTGCTGGTGTCATTTCCCAATCTCAAGGTTTCCAGCGACCATGGCAAAGTTTCCAAAGGTTCCTTTGAGAGATCACAACCCGTCAGATCCAGCTCCCGCAGGCATGAAAGGTATCCCATGGCTCGCGGTGCAGAAGCGAGTTTGTAACATTTCTGAGCCTTGAGAGTCTGTAGGCGGCTCAGCTGAGTGATGGATTCTGGCAGTTCTGTCAACTCCTTGCACCAGCTCAATGTCAACTCTCGCAGGTCACTCAGCTGGCCTGTACCCTCTGGAAGGTGAATGATGGGACAGTCTGTGATATCAAGCCGTGTTAGAGAAGAGAGACGACTGAATGACGACGGCAGCTGCTGCAGGGAGGCACATCTGCTCAGCACCAAAATGCGGAGGCTGCTCAACTCGCCTATCTCCTCTGGGATTGAAGTCAGCTTTGCTTCCCTGATGCTCAACGACTGAAGAGCAGTTAAGCAGGAAATTGCTGCAGGGAGGATGTCAATGCCCCCACAGTCCATGACCAGCTTCTGAAGCCCGGTGAGTAACCCAATAGAATCCGGAAGTTTCCTCAGCGTCCAGCTTCTCAACACTATGGACTTCAGCCTTGAAAGATTTCCAAGATTTTCAGGTAGGCTGGATATACCGCAGTAGGAAATTGTGAGAATCTCCAAGGTGCTGATGCTTGTGAGGGAATCTGGCAGCTCAGTCAAATCTCGGCTTTCGGAAAGGCAGAGTTCGAGAAGCGTCGGAAATCGTTCGCCAAGATCTTCAGGTAAGATGTCCGGGACATGGGTTAGCAGCAGACGTTGAAGGCGGAAGAACGGTAATTCCGACGGAAACATTGAAGGGAAATCCGTCGACCCGTGCACGAATCCCAGCGAACGAAGCGTCGACAGTTGGCCAAATGAGAAATTCCCTTCAAAATCGTGGAATGATGTCTCTCCTGGAAAGAACAGGCTGGTCAGATTTGGAAGGTTGGTTAATGGCGACATCTGATGCAGTCGCATGTCCAACTTCTGAATCGAAAGCTTCGTGAGAGAAGATAGACTGGCGAAGTTGGGATCCTCCAGAGGCAGTATTCCCCCCAGTGACAGCGTGTGCAGGCGCGTCAACTGGAAGAAGGAAGAAGGAAGATTCGTTGTCCGATGAAGACACTGCAGTGACAGCTGCTCCAAGCGGCGACACTGGCGGAAGAGACTATCCAGGCCAGGTGCAGTGACGGGGTGGTCCGAATCGTCAATGGAAGTCGTCGGTTCCTCGTCATACTTGAGGACTTCGTCGAAAGCAATGCCTGTGCCGACATAAAGAACAGTTAGCTTCGGAAAGGAAGAGGCGAGAAAGGCTAGAAAATCGTTGTCGATCATTTCCATGCTTCCGTGGCTCAAGTGCAGGTGAGTGAGATGCGGAAAGGTCACCAAAACGCGTTTCAGATCCTGGCGAGAAACCAGCCGATCTTGTAAAACGTGAAGCGTGGTGACGGATTCGTGTGCGAGCTCCCGCCAGCGACGGCAAACGGAGGCGATGAGGAGAGCGTGAGCGACATTGGCAGATGCAGGAGGCGTCGTAAAATGTGGATCAGGGCCTGGATCTGGTCCGTTCCATGGATAAGCGTACTAGGAGAGAGACAATGAAGTCGTCGGCCGGAAAGCATCAGAATACCAGAAGATCCTGACAAGAGCATCGTCAGGAAGACAATGGATGCTTGTGGAAGACATGTCCTATAGTTGACCTGCGAGGGCTCGGATTTCGAATCTCGGAAACAACTCCCTACTCTTGTGAGACCACCTTAGGAGAGGAATCTATAAGACAAGGAATCAAGATAAGAACACAACGGGAGATTTCAGGCCTGCTTTTCTGGACAATGCAGCTTCTTACTGTTAGGACCAATGTTGTCTGAATCAATCCAGCATGTACAGAGCAAGAGCAGAGAGCAGAGAGCATAGTGTAACCCGCTAAATCCCGTTTGTGTCACGGACGGCCAGAGAGCAGGAACGCGAGCAAGCAATCAACGGAGCAGGGCTGCGTACTTTGCTTCACCTGGGTCGAATGTGCGTGTAGGGAGGGGGAGTCGAACCGTTGTAAGTTGTTTGTAACCCGCTGTTCTCGAGATTTCGGTGGGACTCCGCCATCCTGGCACCACGTCATGCTCCTGTCCTCCTGACACTGTGAGAGCGACGATCTGCGACGAAACGACTGCATTGTACGATTTCATAGTGAGCACATTGATTGGTATTGTGAAGAATGACTTGGGAATTTGGAACAACCTACTGGTATTTTCCCAATATTGTAGCCTTCTCTCACACGTTCTAGTGATGGGACACGTGAAAAATCAGGCTGCACAGTTCACCATAAATGAGTTGCTGCAACATCCAGGAAGTGTCACGTTCCATAATGAATGACCCCCTAATTTAGGGCATCTATACAAAGCAACATTTTCCACCTCTTCGAACCAGGAGCAACGCAACCGTGAAAACATAAGGCATATCTTCAAAAACAGCAAGTCACCACCACCTCTTCTCCATCTTCTTTTTGAGCTGTGCTGCCAAGTCACTGAACTCAGCTGTATCCGCCTCCAGCTCATCCGCCATGTCGTTCAGTTTCTGCCATGCAAGCATTGGAGGAGTAAGACATGAGCGAATTTGACGTGGGATGAGAGACGTGAGTGAGAGCTGGAAAGTGAAGGGAATGTAGAAAAACAGAAGCGGTGGAGGGAGTTGGAAGAGAGAGCTAGGGAATAACTGCAGGCAAACAAAAGTAGAGCGCCCCACATGTTGTGGATAGCATGAGATAGGATGGATGGCATGAAACAACGTACACTGATCTTCTCTCCTCGTTCCACCAGCTTGTTCCTTGCATCAGCTGCTGCAGCCCCTGCTGAGCCAGCAGATGGCTGCATGAGACACACGTGGGACACATGAAGAACATGTGAGACATCTGAGGAAGGTGAGAGAGACATGAGGAGCAGGTGAGAGAGATGAGGAGTAGGCCAGAGACATGAGCAAAACGTGGAGCAACAAATTAAGATGGCATTGCCCTGGAAGAAGACCCCCAAGGGAAACACAGAAATGTTACAAGGTGCGAGATAGCACTGTCAAAATGGATATCACGGTGCCTAGCACTCACGAGCTTCGATTTGTAGTTGTGTGCTGCTTTGATATCGGCAACTGATCGCTGCTTTGGCACCACTGGCTCGGGCTCCTTGGCTGCACGGGTTGGTGTGTGGGAGGCACGGACAAGAGGAACGTG